TGAAAAATTACACTTATATGCAAATTTTCGGGGGTCACAGGTCGAATTCCTGCAACAAATAAATACCACCCGACGCAGAATTTAATTCCGCATCTCTAGACGCCAAGGTGAAGTTACTACGTGGCCTAGATCGCGAGCAAACCCAAAAAAAACACAAATATTTCACGTAAAAGGGTTGAAAAATTACACTTATATGCAAATTTTCAGGGGTTACTGGTCGAATTCCTGCAACAAATCAATACCACCCGACGCAGAATTTAATTCCGCATCTCCAGATGCCATGGTGAAGTTACTACGCGGCCTAGATCGCGAGCAACCCCGAAAAAACACAAATATTTCACGTAAAAGGGTTGAAAAATTACACTTATATGCAAATTTTCGGGGGTTACAGGTCGAATTCCTGCAACAAAGTAATACCACCCGACGCAGAATTTAATTCCGCATCTCCAGATGCCAAGGTGAAGTTAGTACGCGGCCTAGATTGCGAGCCAACCCAAAAAAGCACAAATATTTCACGTAAAAGGGTTGAAAAATTACTCTTATATGCAAATTTTCGGGAGTTACAGGTCGAATTCCTGCAACAAATAAATACCACCCGACGGAAAATTTAATTTCGTATTTCTAGACGCCGCGTTGAACTTTTAAAAATTTAAAAAAGTGAAATTTCCATAGCAATTTTAAGGCACTTTGCTAGTTATTGTTCGGAATGCCAATAGCGTATCGTTAAGATTGATTTTCGCCCTATTAGAAGTGAAAAAACCGTACAAATACCCCAAGGTGTTAGATCTGACCCAATTTCCACGATGATACTTTAAAATAATTAAAAAATACGTGCAAATACCCTAAATGGTCCCCGAGATATGAGCCATTTTCCACCGGAAGTCTTGAAAAAATCGAAGAATGCGCCAACGTTCGCGGTCATTTTGAGATACGTAATGAGGTAATGAATTTGTCGCGTAATTTAAAATGAAATATATAATTGAATTAAAAACTTACGAATTGTGCGCATCAGTCACCAAGACACAGCAAGTGCTGAAATTAAAAAAAAAAGAAGTTGAAACATTTCATAAGATTTAACAATAATATATTCATAACTAATAAAAAATACGATGTACGTTGTTGAATTAAAAGTTACTAACACAAGGCTAATGATGATTAAATCTACGTTGGGGCGATTCATTTCAAGACCGACACCGAATCAAATATCTTCCACTCTTGTACAATAATGTAAATTAAGTTGTCGATTGATGATCGAATAAAATGCAAATTTAGAAAGGAGAAGTCCGTACGAACAATTCGAATCGCGCAAAACACGTCTAAACTTACCAGCGACCGGTACGAAACTGGCTGCTAACAGCGGTAGAAGTGACTTGTGTTCAGAGCACCGTAGGGGGTGACGGTAGAAGTGACTCGCATTCAGGATACCGTACAAAGGTAGCGATAGAAGTGACTCCCGCTTAGGGCACCATACGAAGGTAGCGATAGAAGTGACTCCTATTCTCTCTTAGCTAAGCTAGTTTAATTGCAAATGTAAGAAACGTAATTATTCATAAGGACAAATGGGAACTAAAAGCGCTAGCGACCAGCCGAACAAAGATTATGAAAGTTCATGAAGCAGAAAAGAATGTGCAAATACCAGCATGCAGCGCGAGCTCACACGTACAGGAGTGCCACTAACAGACACATGCAAACATGAACTGAGAAATCACCTGACTTAATATTATTCAATTTTGTGCATCCTAGCGCAATCTATGCTCTATTCGAAGAGTTTTAGATAAAATGCGTGTTGTGCGAGGTCTCATGCGGTCACTAGTTTTATATCTACAATAATTTTTGATTTTAGGAATAATTTGAATAAATACCAAGCCAATTTACTTTCCGCGCTTAATATTCGTCATTATATTGCACCGTATTTGATTAAATATTATTCTAAATAAATATATACAGCTTGTAGGTGAATAAATTTGACTGCGACCGAAAATTAATTCGAAGTTAATAAATATTAATTGATAATGTGATAATCAGGAATGATAAACAAACGCACAAATATTATAAAGATGTAACTCCCGAATAAAAAGGACAATCTGCGGTCCGTCGGCAACTATTCCTTAGTCACGTACTGGCGAATGTATCTACTATTCACGAATCAGCGGAAATAATTAAAATTAAGTAAACACTTACTGGCCGCTATACCCTCACAATATCCTTAAAACGATATTTTTACTAAACCATTACAAGTCAATACAGAAGTATTTGTCAAACATTGACACAGTAGTTTTAGTAAAAATATCGTTTCAACGATATTATGAAGTATAGCATACAATAAAATGTTCTTACCAACTACTACTACCCTCTCATTACTACCATTTGTATTTCAGCAAACATTTTACGAAAATGGGTTGAAAAATTACACTTATATGCAAATTTTCGGGGGTTACAGGTCGAATTCCTGCAACAAATAAATACCACCCGACGCAAAATTTAATTCCGCATCTCTAGACGCCAAGGTGAAGTTACTACGCGGCCTAGATCGCGTGCAAACCCGAAAAAACACAAACATTTCACGTAAAAGGGTTGAAAAATTAAACTTATATACAAATTTTCAGGATTTACAGGTCAATTCCTGCAACAAATAAATACCCGACGGAGAATTTAATTCCGCATCCCTGGATGCCGCGCTGAACTTAGTGAGACGCCTAGATCGCGCGCAAACCCGAAAAAATACAAACATTTGACGAGAAAGGGTGAAAAATCACCCTTTAATTCAAATTTTCGCGGATTCCTACGGTGCCCTGAACACGAGTCACTTTTACCGCCACCCTACTACGGTACACCGAATGAGACTCAACTATACAATTGTGATGAATTGCAATATAAAACTAAATAAACAAACAGAAACCAATGTCCTTGATTTAATATTCAAGTCAATAAGCTTAAGTTTAACCGTCTGGTCTCCCAAAAAATGTAAATGTTCGTCGCGGTTAGTTATAAAGCAACACCATGCTCGATTTTAATTATTATGTGATTATAAATTATACTTTTCTTATCTAGAAAAAACTCAGTTTCAGAAGAAACGTGTAAAATAAAGAAAGTAATTCACGTAAAATTAAATTATTATAAAATTAAACCCAAAATATTATTCAGGTATCTATCGACTAATCAAAGATAATGATAGATAACAAATATCTTTTAAACTAAAGGCGCTAGCGGCCAGCTGATTGCAAATTATGAAAGTTTGGAAAATTCTCTATAAGATATGACAAGAAAATAATTAAAATTCGGGCGTAAAGGTTGAGAAATCGTGTTTAAATATGAAATAAAGATCGCATTTTTATTTTTTATGAGTTTTTCCATTCGCAGTTTTCATATCCCGTACTCTTATTATAGGAAGGGACGAAAATTATTAATCTACGGGTCATTCTCTACGGGTATAAGACAAAGAATTAAAATAGTGCCTGCTGTGCCTCAACATGTAAACAAAATCGCGACATTTCATAATATTATAAGACTACCTGCTGCCCGAACGCGTAAAGCCGGCGCACGAATGGCAAACGACCTTATGCACAAATTGCAATAGCGATCTAAACTAAACACGAACACTAGCAGAGCGAGACGTGAGAGGATGGCAACGACAACATACGGCAATTTTAGACGTTGCTATTCGAGCAGCAATAAAAAAGTATAAACTGTGTTCAAAACAAATACAATTCTTGTGTCGATTGCCCACGTTTGCTGATAAATGTAAAAATAAACAATACAAGTCAACTTTACGATGTTTATTTCATGCTAGTGCCATTATGAATGATACAAGTAGTAGCTCCATAATTTGGATTAAGTATTGAAATTAATAATAAATTAAAATTTGATTTACGTAGTTCAAAATTATTATGCTGCAGGTTTGTCTGATTTTACATCAAATATTTGAGTGAAATAATAATTTTACAAAGATAAGAAGAACGAAAACTTCAAATTTCCATTCTTACTTTTCCTGTAGAGAGAACTTTGTCATATGGTAACGTTGCAGAAAAGCATTAAAACGTAGAACTAAACTAAAATAGAAGTACACGGCAAACTCTCCCTATAAATAATAAAATTATTTTACTTACCAGTTATGTAAAACGGCAAATTGAAGACGTGTTGGTATATATATACTGAAATAAATGAGAAACAAATCATTAGTAACAGCATTTCGTGCCATATTGAAAAGAATCTGAGTTCCGTCGGAACCCAGTGTTTAAATTAAAATTCCGTTAATTTGTATAATAATGATAGGAATCACAATACTTACCAGGTAGTACATTAGTCCGTAAATCAGCTGATAGTAAAAATGTTTTTCACAAGTCAATTAATTATTGGTATTCACAAAACATGGCCGTGCGTCGCCCGATGGCAACGGATTCACAAACACGTTAAAACACAAAACACGCAAAATTTAGAATTACGAGGATTACACACACGATAAATAACTGATAATAGATCAAACATGTTTATTAGCACTAATTAACACCGGCGATCAGGAAATATACCCCGATTTACCGAACTTATATCAAAGAATAACACAAGCTGAAAGCGTGGAATGTGTGCTCGTCGTTATCGCACCGATGCAACAAAACAAAATTCACTCGCTGAAATATTTTTAGGTAAACCAGCATGGTCGCGCCATCTGAGGACACATTCTAGTACCTCACAGAAATACACAGTGATTTGTCTATGAGTCAGTGAGGTGTCACAGGCTTAGATGGTAGCGTCGGTGTGACACACGTACAGAAAAGTGTGTGTGCACTACCCTGTCTAAATGGGTAGCAGTTTTATACAGAAATGCAAATCTAGATGAAGCGTGATGTTGAAATTTAAATCTGCGTTTTATATCAGCGTTACTCTTATAACAATTACATACATCCAGATAGAGAATTTATCTATCTATTTATCTATTAATACCAATATTCCCCGAAGCTGGAAATGAATTTTGAAAATATGGCAACGTTTAAGCGATATACGTGGTTCTCATAGAGGGGGAATACTTTGAAGGCTGTATCTCCAATACTTGCAGAATGCTCTGCTATGTAAAATGTAAAAGTAAACACTGCGGTATCGAGGCGATTGAGGTTTCCATAAAAGAAAGTGCTTTAGATTACTTACTATATTACTCAAATACGCAACCACAAACATTTTAATTGCGTCAACTTGTATGTGTAAATGAACAGACAAGTTACACACAACTCCAAATAAGGCAAATATTTACAAAATCCACAAAATAAACATTCAAAATTATCATTTTCCACCAGGATACATAATGGAGACAAAAACAAATGGTGAGCATACTGTTTTACTAGTTGCCAGTGAACCATAAGTGATAGAATCATGTTGGACTTTCTAGAAATGAAGATGGATATTGCAATGCGCACACTAGGTGATGGTATGGACAATTCTTTAATGACCCTTTCAAAACTAATCAGCAGCAATTTACATATATCATCTCTAAATGTAAATCAGAAATCATTGAAACCTATTATTCCTGAAGGGCCCATCATTATGACTGTGCCAAAATTTATTCCCAAAGAGCGCAAGAATCCTAAGTACCTTACCATGAATAAGAAAGAACCAAAGTTTATTCCATGTGAACCATTCAAAGGTGCAGTTGATCCAATCATTCCAAGGAAGAAGATGGTAAAGATTCAATGTTTGCCCCATACAAAAAACAACATTGATATACAGGATTTGGTACATCAGATGTCTGACATAAGAACTAGTGAATTGAATAAAACAAATTTATTAAGGAAGGATGAAGGAAAGGAGTATTTTGTGTCCATTAAGCAATGGGAAGATGAAAAGTTTGCTTATGAGAGTGATATTAAAAACTTGAAAGAAACAAATGCACACTTGGAAAATCAACTCAAGTTTCAAGCTAAAGTAAAGCACAAACTATTTTATTTTTAAAATGCTGTAATAATACAGTTTTATAACTTTTAGGTTAACAGTGAACTCAAAACACTTCTGGTGGCAGCTGTTGGTGAAGATCTTGAGTCGAGAGTACAACATTTAACAGAAGACAAATTGCAGCTGGCAAGGGCATTGCTCAACTCTGCCAATCATTTGACATCACACCAGGAACAAACTGAATGGTTAAGTGGTCAGTGTGAAGTATGGAGAAGTAAATTTTTAGCTTCCAGGTAATTAATTGAATAAATTCATCCAAATACATTATTATTATTGCATACATTTTAAGTTTAATGGTAGAGGAATTAGCAAGATGGAAATCAGCCCTCACAAATCGCATAAGTGAACTTCAGGAAAACATGAAGGTTCTAATTGATGAGCGTACAAAAGTGCGCAACTATTCCCTCCAGACTTACAATCTCTTACATCAAATCAATGCACAGCAGTTTGAAACCAAACCAGCAACAATTCGAACCGCTAATATTATTGATTTATCAATGAATAATCTGAAACTAGCACAGGACCTAAGCCAGGTGTTGATTAAAGATGTGAAAGAAAATGATGATTTGCTCAAGTTATCGACGAATACGCCGGGCGAAAACATGGCTGTGAAAATATTAAAGAATCCAGTGAAGTTGTTCAGCAAACCCGATGAGGTGTGCAATGCTTTGGTAGGTGCAGCGATGAGCATCACGTCCGGTCAGATGTATTTACAACATCCGGCCACGCAAGCCACGTGTTGCAAACATTGCAAAGGCGAAATTCACAATATTTAAACTATATATTTACTAGAAAATGAATAACTGAACATGTTGTTTTATGTTATGATATTTAAATATATAATTATATTCTTATAGTGCAAACAATTGGCAGGATATTTAATATGACGATGATTGAAAATAGTCGAAACGCTCTCACAAAATTACTAACGAAAAACTTGTTAGCTGTTACTGTACAGAATTGTTAGAAATTTATACATTTAATAAATTTTAACATTGAATATACACATTGTTGACATTAATAACTTTACGTCTGAGTGTTTATTATTTAATGTACCATTTGATTCATCAATATGCCTTGATTCATTAACATGATCATGCTTACTTTACCACGTGATGGTTTGCTTTACTTTTAGTAAATGTTTAATTTCTTGATTGCATACTGCTGCCCTACTGCTACTGAAAGTGATGTATGTTGTGTGATTTTGTTTTTCTTGTCGTGTATTCATCACGCTTTTGCTTCGGAATCTTGGAATGTTATTTTGCTCCAGACATATTCAAATAATCCAGCATCTTCGCCCCTATGCTTGGCCATGTGTAACTCATTTGCGTAAGTACGGCGCGTGTATTACGTCAAGCAAGCAACGGGTGCGCAAACGAGTTCAATAAAAACGTTTCGTATTTCGTGTTTGTTCAAATATTTGTGTTTGACAAGAATTTCAACTTTATTGCATGCGCTACTCACACAGCCGATAACATGTTAATTAGACGTGAATACATGAATAGAGTTGTGTTTGAATTGGTTTTATTTGAATTTGAATTGCTCATGTGTAAAATTCTATAGATGAAAGGTGCTTAAACAACTTTATCTATATATATAAAATTTGCGTGTCACAGTGTTTGTTTCCATACTCCTCCGAAACGGCTTTACCGATTTTTACCAAATTTTATATGCGTATTCAGTAGGTCTGAGAATCGGCTACAAGCATCTATTTTCATACCCTAGTGATAGGGTTGTTCACCTTAACTTTTTAGATTTTTGGACAAATTCTTTTGTTTTTATTTTATAATGTGGAATTAAAAAATACATACAACCTAAATTTTAGTTTTTATCACCAACCCCTATTTCTTTATAGCCATTTTAGTAATTTAATCATTTTCATCCGCTCAAAGAAAATTTTTATATGCATTATTCAGTGGGAATGCGAGAATCGGTAACTTCATATCTCTAAGTGATAAGGGTTGTTCTGTAATTTTTTAAATTTTGGTCGAAATTTTTTTGTTTATTTTTTAATGTGTTTTAATTAATTTTTATTAAAATATACAATTTTTGGTTTCTTATCACCAACCCCTATGTGTTTGTTTGTCGGATTGTCGTCCGGGGGCTATAAAATTGCCCACTCGTTCATTCCAAAACATTTGTTCTTGAATTTGTAATTCAAAATCATTTACAAATCATAACAAACTTTTTTTTTAACGACGAAAACGACGCGCACGGACATTAAAATGTAAAAAATTCACCGCAAAGTGGAAGCTTTCATTCGGACAATTTGAACATTTAATTAATGTCCACTATTTCGCACACAATGAAACATTCCATTGGCAAACGAAACGAGACAATAAAAATGATAAATGGAGTACTTTTACACACATTCTCCGGCAGATAAATTTTCGTATATAATTATTGCGTTGCGAAACGATGAAATACGGCGCGCGAATTTTAGCGAAATAAAAATTACATTACGCGCTAGATTAGAGACAATTTTATCTCTGCCGCCGCCACTGTTCGGCCATGGGGAGGAGAAGCGGCGGCGTTGATTTTTAGTTAGTTTATTGTTGAAAAGTAATGTAGCGTAAAAGGATTCTTTCGTCGAGTCGCTATTTTTCGCTACACTTTTCCCTTCTTGTGTTGTGTACTTTTTTGTCGCTTTATTTAGCAGCCGCCGCCCAGCGGAGCCGTGTGCCTCGTATAATAGTAATGGGGCGGTGGGCGTGTGGGCGTTCGTTGTGTCGTATTGTGAAGATGCGAGAACGCCGAAAGTAAAATGGGGCAAAAAGCAAGTGTGCATGGTAAAAAAATTCGGCGAGCATCTAGGAGACGAAAAACAATAGAACTATAAATCTAATGTGAGGACCGTACATGCATTTTCTTTCATTGAAACCTATAAATTCTGCGATTCTTAACGGTTTCATTACGGTTGAGAGCCGGTCTTAATTGTCGACGAGAGTAATGAATATCTACCAAAAACAACACAAACCTTAAATAAAATTATCCTTAAGGTGGGATATGAAAATATAACAAAAGGAATAAGTATCAACAGTTCAGCGAATTATAGAAACCGAATGTTTTTCTTAAAAAAATTTTTTTTTTACAACTTAAGTTAAACACTCCACAAGTCAATTTAAAGTTGATTCTCTGCGTCGCAATCAATAATCATTAACGTGCCTTATCCTGCCGTTCGCATTCCAGCACTCTGAACTGTATCCCAGCGCATTTTTCCGGTAAAATGAGAACTAACAAGATAAACATGCGCCTCCACCAACTAAACGCAAACATATTTTTCATTTTGCACGCCTCAGCCCTCAGCGTTTAAGGTAATTAAGACAAAATAGTTTTTGTTTCCATTATTCATTTGCGCATAGATAACGAACGTAGTGCGGCGGGCTGAGGGCGGAAAAAGCGGAGGCGGCGCGCCGGCTGGCGTCTCGTCGTCGTGCGTCGCGCGCCCGCCGTTGTTCTCCAGCGTTCTGCGACGTCGAAGCTCGTTTGAAAAATTAACTCGTGAGCATCATAAATTAGGCTGAAAAATGTAAAAAGCTCGCCTTTATTTTCGACCGTGTGCCGCAACACAACAGGAAAAGAAGCTGCACGCCTAATTATACTTAAAAATTAAGAGGCCAGCACCACTGACAGCCGCTCTCTATTAACAAGATACATTGAGAGCGTGTTTTTTAAGGGTGTTTATTTTTCCACCCTAAAAACACACACAACACGCGCTTGTAAAAAACAGCGAGTAATTTCAGTATAAAATATTTACATAAATTAAATTAAGATGTGTTTTCTGTTTTGTTGCTGTTTGCGGATCGATTTGAAACCGCAAGTATTTCTCTGCTTGCCAATATCTTGGCAACATTCACCGCCGCATTTTGATTGCAATCATGTGTCGCAATTCCAACCGCAGTGCACGAAGCAAAGGCTAACTTTCTTTCCGTTTGAAATTCCGCATGTCGCATTTCGACTGCACCAATCTCTCAATCTCGGTCGCGTTGTTTCAAGAATCCCTTCGAAAGTTTCACGTGTAGTCCGTGCGCTGCTGTGTTTGCTATTTCAGTGTTTTCAACAACCTCACCTACACGAATCCTTCTCTTGCGTGTTGAACAGTTTAATATTCTCGAACGCTGTTGCTCGTCGAGGTTTGCGTACACATTTTCGTGTTTTGTCAACGCATAACAGCGCCAACGTGTTCAACAGTCGCGACAACATCCTCGAGACATCTAGGTGGGAAACTGCCACCTCCGGTGAGAAAGGACGTGCGATGCGCAGTACAAACAGATTAATATGCACGTGCTTGTTTTAATTGAAAACTAGACACAGACTGAATCCGTACAGCAAATAAAATGTGCAAAACAAAATATTGTGATTCATCGGTTCGAATTAAGATTAAATTAAGATCAACTACCAATTAAATTCTTAAATGGCATTTCTGTGAAACCATCCAAAATTTACAATTATATCGACCCTTTCTTTTTATCCTTGTCACTTTCCCGCGTTGAAAATATTCAGCGTTTACCCTTTTTGCGATGAAGCGCGCTCCTTTTAAATTCGTTTTGGGGTCGCAGCTTGTTGACGGCACTCGCGAGGCGCTCCGGCGATGACTCCGCGCAATATGATGTGACAAGTTGTTCAACTAAGAATGTAACATCCATAAATATATTACGTAACTAATTTAAAAGTACTAAAGTAATTTTAAAAGCGCACCTCGTTGAATATAAATCGTGCGCGCGTACGGCTCCACGCAAACGAGGCACATGAAAACGAAGAAGAGAGGAAAAACACCGAATGTAGATGTGCAGCGAAGAAAGCCACCAAGCAAACGGTCTGTCCCTCCTCGGAAGAAGGTGAAACGACTTACGGAATCAGGAATCAAGAGTTTTCTACACAGTCCACTCAAAATCATACGATAACAAACGGATTTCCGCGAATTAACATCCAAAATTTTAAAAGTAAGCAAATCGTAATTTTTTTGTTTTTAATGAAAAATATTTGTTTTAAGGGTGGTAGAGTGGGGTTGAAAGTGTTTTGTGATGATTTGTTAAGGTAACTGCAAACGTACTGTAAAATAGTAGCTGCAATGGTTGGGGAAAGACCCAGGGTGAGAGTTTATCCGGATGTTTGCAGAAAGTTTCCACGTTTTCGCGCGAATTACTGCGCGTTCGCCTTCGAAATAAGTTGGGATCCATTCGTGCTGCGCTGCGCAGAGCGTAATTACACTTCTTGTTACTACAGACTCGCGGACGGCGGCAGCGTTCCAAAACGATACCTAATAGCCATTAATTGTACCGGCATTAATTAAAATACTGCTTCTTTTTGTTCCTGTTTGTTGATAAATACAGTATCGACATATTAAGATTCATTGGTTATGAAATTACAGCGGAAATTATTATTATTATACAAAAAGTTTAAAACAAATTAGAGACTTTTAGACTTAGTTAAAAATTTTCCAACACTGGTAAGAATACGAAGGAATGGAACCCACAAAAAAAGCTTTCCGCATTTGTGCAATACACGTCGTTAACGTAATTTATAATGATCCGCGAATTAAAAAGTTTCCTCATTAGAGCCGGCGAGTTTTTCGCAAATACATCCGGAAAAGCTTGGGCGAGCTTCGACTTCGTGCCTCGCTTCCAATAAACGTCGCCGGATCATTTACGACGATCGCCGGCGTACTCAAACTCTCATTCGAACGCATTCGAAAATTTCTTATAATTTGCGCCTTTTAATTAATTACGCGCGCAATCAGAGACAATGCGAAATCGATTTTTTCCCGGACTCTCATCGCGTGGAATTCTAGCAACCAGTGCGAGATAATGAAACACTATGAGGAATTTCGTTACGCTTTGTCATTCTTTTCGCGTGCGCGCAAAGAAAACCGAAACAAAACCGGACGAAAAAATAATGCAAAAAAATGGAAACAATAAGCGCGCTGCATTCGTGTAAAATATTTCGTGTTTGACTGTTTAGGATTAATTAGTGTTTTCTTTGTTGCGCGCTGTTTTTGTGGTAT